TCCTTTTCAACGCCGTTTTTCGGGAAGTTCGGATTTTCTTTGAATTTTTTCGCAATAATATTTGAAAACTAGATAAATTTTAACACATTTTATTGCAATAGAGATTTNTGGTCGGGGTCCCCCTTTAAAAAAGAGGAAAATATGCAAAAATAAAATTGTTCCGAACCGAACTACTGTATCAAAGGCGCATGAAGATATTTCTAAAAACTGTAGCTGTTTTCGCTTTAGGGCCAGCTATGCGCCTTTATGTAAATTGTCGGCCACAAGATTTATCGGCGCCGGATAAGATTAATAATGTATTTACCGTAAAATCTGTATTAATATTGCGCCTCTATTTGAATTGCCCCTCTAATAGACTTGCACCTTTTGAGGTCACTTGAAAAATAGACTTGCAGCCTTTAATTGAATTGCCCCCGTAATACAACTTCCCTTCCGCGCCGATTGGAACTCTAAATATTTCATCCTGGTAACATTTTTGAATCTTTGAAACAGTTTCATAATATTTCTTTCTTTTGTAGGGATATCCAAATGTCAACTCGAGTTATGAGGCACTGAAAGGAACCATCTCGTTTTTTTTCTACCACAAGATGCAATGATCAATTTAAGGCAATAATTTGTGTCCCGATAGTCTATGAATAAATTTTGTTCTTCTGTACTTAGTGTTTATGGCTTTTAGATATTTTCAGTTCAAAATAAAAACATGAATACCTCACAACTTCAATGAACATTTGAGATTTGAAAATTGAAAAAATTACTGCATTGGGAAAAACATTAGAAAATCATAGGAATTAGTTTCCGAAATTTGCCTACAACTTCTGATAGAGAAGAGATCCTGGTCTGAAGTTTGGATATGTAGCCTAAAATTAACCGTTTTGAAAAAACCAGTCAGCTGGTGACAGTGTAAAAGAATTTAATAACGGAAAGTGATGGTGAATCATCAGAGAGCACATTCTCTGGGTCTCCCGATCACTAGCTCCTTGTGTGCCTATGAAGACATTTTTTTGATCATTTCTTCTCTTTGGCCACCTTCTGGTTGTGGAGGCCTATTTTTTATATATTTTTTTTCTGAAGTTCTAGGATTTATTCCCTTTTGGGTTATTTTAAAATCCTCGTCCCCCGGCGGCACATTTTTTTGAATTTTCTTCCTTTTCAACGCCGTTTTTCGGGGATTTCGGATTTTTTTTGAATTTTTTCGCAATAATATTCGGAAAATAGATAACTTTTAACACATTTTAATGCAATAAAAATTTTTGGTCGGAGTCCCCCTTTAAAATTTTCTTTCGTTAAACTTCTTTAGAGTCTTATGAAATCAGATGGATTTCGTTATAAAGTTGAAAAACAGCCTTAAATGGGTTGAATCCGAGGTACTGTATCAAAGGTGCAAAATTGTAATTGTTAGTAGAAGTCGAAATTAAGTATTTCCGGATTCAACCAAGTTCTTGCTTCAGGTCCTTCTCATTTCCTTCCTCGTCCTTTGCGTTTTGTCCCAAGAATTTTCTGGAATCATCTCTGCTCAAAGATGTATGAGAGACTCTGAGTGTATTGGTTCAGACGTGTGCCATGTCCGCCGATGCCTCCCGATTTCGGAACTCCGTCAGTGTGACATGTCTCCCGACGGTGACGACTGTGGATTCGAATACTTCTGCGTGGGCGGAGTTTGCTGGTACATGTCGGATATCTCCATGGGACGAAAGCACTCGTTCGTTCCAATGACATGTACACATCCACTCGAGTGTCCAGATAACAGGAAATGCGTCAACGGACTGTGTGTTTGAATCATAATTGGTTTTTTGAATGAATGAAATTTTGCATTAAAACTTGTTTGAAGTTAATTGTTTAAAAAATGACTCTGAAAAAGTAGGCAACTTTGAACCAATTTGTCTCGTTTCCTGGGGACAATATCAAAAAATGGTCAACTGACAAAATGTTTGTTATGTCATCGAAAATATTTTATTAGTTAAACATTTTTTGATATCTCTTACGGGAACCGAGATAAATTGGGTCAAAATAGACAGTGTGACTTTAATAGAGGTTTTACTGTAGGTGTGCATTTTGAGCTCAATTATTTCGGTTTTTGTAAGAGATATAAAACATTTGCAAACTACGAAAATGCAGGTGATATTATGACAAGTATTTTATCAGTTGTCAGATTTTCGATATCTGTAAACAGAAGACGAGAAAAAGGAGCTCAAAATGGAAAGACGAAATTGGCTCACTGCCAGTAAAATTTGACTTTGGCATTTTTTCTGTCATTAAAGGTGGGGGGACAGGAGATTTTACGGGGATTTTTGGGGCCAGAGTATGCATTCTACCGTGACGGTGTACAACGCTTAACGCCACTCTGCGTACAGCTGTCGTCCTCGCCCTTATGTATGCAATCGGGAGACCGCTTTCTCTTTGCCCGTGTAGCTCAGTCGTAGCGGCGCCGCACCCTCAATCCTCGTCCCACACGTTCAACTCCTCGAGAGGCATATTTAAACGAAATTCCGAGAACATTATTTTTTTCATGTCCCCCCACATTTAACTAACTTTGTGGTTTTGAAAATTTAGTAAAACTTCATTCAAAGAAATCAGAAAATTACATTTTTTGATTTGAAAACAGGAATAATACCATTTTAATCATGACATGCATTTTTTATAATTTGATTTTCATAATAAAACTGTTTTTTTTTCAAAATTTTAACCTCAAATTGTACTTTGAAAAATAGAATTGCAGCCTCTATCTGAATTGCCCTCTAATAGAGTTGCACCCCTTGAGGTGACTTGAACAATAGACTTGCATGCAATATTAATACAGATTTTACGGTAGGCTTCTACGGAAAATTAGATATGTTCTACTTAAATTTTGTTGATTTTTCAAATTTTCTAAAACAGAAAAAGTTCAATAAATTTCAGTGGATAACCTAGGTTAAAGCTTCGCAAGTGCCTTATAACCTCAAATTTAAATTTAAAAATAAAAGAAAACTCACAGAGAAAATCTTCATGTTTCCGATTTTTCGATTCAGAAAACGATTCAAAAAAATGTGCAATAAAATTCCGGAATCTTATGATTTTTTGGTGGGAACGGCAGGAGATAAAAAGCTTTAGCTGTAATTCAAGCTTACCTACTTGAATTTTTTGAATCATTACTAATTATTTTTTCAATGACAAAAATTGTATTCTCCGAATTTTTCACGGAAAAAAACCTAAAAGTCGACAAAAAGCTGAATTTCAGGTTACGGTAGTTGTCGTTGTGGAACCTTCGGCCACAGCCACCGATTTTTTTTGTACCAAAAAACCTGAAATTTCTTTTTTTGTTCTTCGAATTTTTCGTTTCTTACAATTAGCTCTTCACAAATTCAAATTTCCCTAATATTTCAGATTTTTCTGTATAATTTTTGGTTTTTCTTTTTTTTAAAGTTCAGGATTGTGTTCTTTCCTTTTTCGAAAACTTCCAAAATTCGAATTCCGCGCGAAAAAGCAGTAGAGCGAAATTGCGCTCCATCGAACACACGGCATCAAAAATTTTTCGCATTGATTTCTTGAATTTTCGGCAAAATTTTTTCAATTTACTGCTGAAATTTTTCGGAAAACTCTTTAAAAGTTTGTAATATCGATAGAAAATTGCAGTTTCTTTAAATTTTTCTAAAAATTATCTGAAAATTTCACTATTCATCTCAAAATTTTAATAACAGAAAAAATCTGAAAAAATTGAAAAATTACAGATTTTTTGAATTGATTCTGAAATTCTGAAAATTCTCCTCGAGATTATTGTGCACTATTCTGCAATCTTCAGTAGGGAATTTGATAAAAAAAGTTAAATTTTCATAAAATTTTGAAATTTTTGTTTTTATTATTTTGGATTACTGTAGTTTTGGATCACTGTAGTTCTGAAAAATCTTTCTTTGGGGCAGAATAGCATTCAATTCGAGTTTTCCAGTACTTTTAGATATTTTTACCTCATAAAAATAATATTTATTTTTCTGGAATTTTTTTTCTAGATTTTTTGATTAATTAATTAATTTAAAAAAAAATCCTTGTCCAAATAATTAGTCCCATAATTCTCTCAGATTCGCATTGAGAATTTAAATATTTCCTATCCACTTCCATGCAATACAACCTCTCTTTCCCTATTTCTTCTCGTTTCTTCCCCCATTTCTCTGCCACCCTCCTCGTTTCAACCACTCTCTCATCTTGCCATTCAGCGGGAGGGGAGGCTGCAATGCGCACAAAAAGTGTCGTCAAATGTGATGCATTGGCAGAGAATAGTTTGAAATCGCGTGAGACACAGATGCAGTCAATCGAAAGCGGTCCCACAGCGCACCGATTCAAAAGAGTGTCTGCAGATTCTGAATTCCTTTGAATTTTTCTCTAGAAAACCTCATTTGTCATAGAAGTCTTCCATTTTCAGGCGTTCCTAATGCAAACTTTACAAACTGCACGTCTCACCTCGAAACCACAAATCACTCTACCTTCAAGTTCAAGGTAGGAAAATATCTTTTTCAGGTTTATCGCATATTTATCGAATTAATTTTTTTCAGTTTTTCATGATTTTTAAACAGAAAATTTCAAAGTGCAAAATGACCCGAAAGCGATGGAAAAACGCCGGGGATGGCAGGTCCCACATCGAAAACTACAGTAACCTGAAAATATTGTTATTTTCCGTATTAATTTTCTCCATTTTCTGCGTTTTCAGTCAATTGTTTCACTATTCAGAATTTTAATTTTCCGACTTTTTGGGGAAAAGATAACAGACAAAACGACGAAAAGCAGTGTAAAGCTAGAAAAGAAATCGAAATTGAACATTTTCAGGTTACGGTAGTTCTCGTTTTGAGTCCGTAGGTTGGAAATATTCTTTAAAGGCGCATGCTCTGTTGAAGTATCACAGAAATTTTAAATTTCGCCTAATTTTCAAAAATTCAGTTTGCCGATTTTTTTTTCTGTAAAATTTGCGTCAAAGCAAAAAATCGCGCGGCGAAACCCGAAAGAGACCCGATATATACGCCTTTAAAAAATTCGGGTTACTGTAGAAAATAATTTTCCAGTCGATTCTTTTCACCCAATTTGTAGAACTTTTTTCTGGAATTTTCAGAGAAAACTTGCTACTTTTTTTCCAATTCCGACAGATAAAATGTTCCTTTAAAGATTACGGTAGCATTCGAAACCGAAAATCAGAAAAATTCTCAAATTCTCCCGGAAAATGCTATTTTTAAAATTTTTAGTTTTTTTTAAAGAAAGCTTAAACTGAAAATAGCGTATTTTTAAAGGCGCATATTTTCTATTGTTTTCTAATCACTGGGACGTCAGAATTGTTTAAAAATCAAAAAGAATAATCACGGAAAACCCATCGAAAACCCTAGTTTTCCCCTTGAAAATTGGATTTTCAGTGCCAAACCACCACCACCGCCGCGACCCAATGGCCCACCACCACCATACAAAGCATCTGGAATCCTCCGCCACCGTCCACCCCCAGCGGCTCGTGCCGAAGAGCAACAACAACTAGAGACTGATCCAAAAACCGTTGAGCTCCTGGCGAGATTCCTCGTCAGCCAAGGCCTCCCTCTAGAATGTTCCAAAGAGCCGGCGTTTCTCGATTTGGCACGTCATCTGAACAGTCGAATGGTGATTCCACCGGAAAATGTGATGAACAAGTTTATCGATCGAGCTGCTCAAATCGCAAAACCCCTTGTCAATTTTCAAAAAACCGTTGGTCCACTAACGGTGACACTGGACATTGCTGGTGACGACGATCAGAAGTACCTCGTGTTTTCGATTCATTATTTTGAAGACTTGTATGAGAGAAAGAATATTGTGTACCTGAGAAAAATGTACCTTAGATTGTAAGTGTCTTTTCACATGAAATTTTAAGTTTACATATTCTAAATTTGTTTTAGTATCGAAGCGGAAACATTGCTCACTTCCATCCGTCGTGCCGTCAACAACTACACCTATGGAACTGTGAAATTCAGTAACATCGTCTGCCCCAATGAATCGATTTTGGAGATGATTTCGAATAGCGGGGTTGTCAAACGATACTATGTCTGCTTTCAAAACTATATGACTCAATTCGTTCATATTTTGCTCAAGATTCCGGAGTTGGCTCAGGGGCTCAATCAGATTCGTTGTTTTGTGAAATACATTCGACAGGATGCCGATAAATATAGCAGATTTAGAAGGTTTTTGGGGTTTTTAGGCTCTGAAAATGTTGAGAAGGGGGTTCGAAAGCTGTATTTCGCAGGAAAATGAAAAATCGTTGAAATTGGCTCGAAAAGCCCGAATTTTTTTTTGGAAAAAATGACTTTTTTCCAGTTTTAAAATCGCTAGAAATAATTTTAAACAGCATGAATTTTCTAGAAAAATTAGGGTTTTGTCTGAAAAATCGTTAAAAGCCTAAAATTTGAATAATTCCAGAATGCAACTCTCGAGAAGTGCCGAAATGGACGTTCCGAAACTCGACAAAGAATCATGGGAAAGCACTTCAGTGTTCCTGACGAGGTGTCTCGTTTTGGTGAGTTTTTGGATTACGGTCAAGGCTGTGCCACGGCCGGCCGCGGCATTTTGAAAAGGATACTTTTGAGCTAGGTAGGGTACGGTAGCTGAGCGTATTTTCGAAAGAACGGCCGGATTGGTCCACGGCATCGGCCGCGGCCGCGTTTTGCACAGCTTTTGGGTTACTGTAGTTGATTTTTCTTCGATTTTTTGCAAAATTTAGATTTTTCAGCTATTTTTGAAGGTTTTCTTGTCTGAAATTTGATGGAACTGTGTTTGGTTACTGTAGGTTACTGTAGAAAACTTGTAGTTTAGTTTCCTTTTTTGCATACAAAACCACGTCAATATGCAGATAAAGACGCGATTTTGTATGCAAAAAAAGGAAGGTTTTCTACAGTAATCTTCAACGAACACCGTCGAATTTCAGACAAAAAGATTCGGGAAAATCTTCAAAAATAGCTGAAAACCCCTAAGAAGGTCTAAAAATTCTGCGAAAAATCGAAGAAAAAATCAATTTTTCTCTCAGAAAACTGCTCTTTTTCCGGAATTAAATTTTTTTTTTGGATTTTTCAATTTTTTAAGCAGTGTTTCGAGGCTTTGCAATTTCTAAAAACTATATTTTTTCCCAAAAATCGAATTTAAAAGTCTCGAAAAATCGCCAAAAAATCGCAAAATTTGTAAGGGACTACGGTAGTTGTCGTTTTGGGACCTCCCGATTTTTTCAAACCAAAAATCCCATTTTTCAGCACGACACCTTCGTCGAATACTGTCAATTGATGAATCTGGACCCATACATCTCCAACAAAACATTCAACCACCTCATCTATTTCCAACGTCTTCTCGAGCAATGCATTAAGTATTCTCGAGAACTCAGTCAATCAAACAACTCAATGTCCCAAGTGCTACCAGCTATCATCTCCCTCAAAGGATACATCACCACCAACAATTTGGGATATCCATTCCAACGACAAATCGACGAGACAGCTGAGAAAATCTTCGGACCAATTACCTATGGAGATTCTCGAGGTCTTTATGAAATAGCGTCTCTTCTGGATCCTCGTTACGCGTATGGAGACTGCTTCCCTATGGAACAATGGAAGATGCTGGAAAAGAGAGTGATTCAGGAGTTTGTAGGAGCTGATCAGCGTCTGGAGAAGTGTTTTTATCACGATATCACATTGATGAGTAATACGGAACGAATGAAAGTTCTCGGCAAAGAGTTTACGCTGTACCGGCATTGTGCGTTCGTGGAGAGACCGTTGGAATCGGAAAGTCCATTTTTCTGGTGGGGACGACGGCAAACTGATATGGAATTCTTATCAGTTATTGCTCGGGAGTACATCGCCTGCCCGGCGACATCTATCGATTCGACAGCCTTTTTCAACGAAGGTGGAAAATTCAATTACCTGTGTAACACATACTCCTACAGCCAACTGGATAGCTGTCTGAATGTCGCTGGAATCCATCAACATTATAGAGGACGTGGACCTACTAGCGAGCCAATCAGCCCAGAAATGGTAGAGACATTGAATAGCACTGCGAATCGGCTTCAACAAACTACACTGTACGCTCTAACAGAACAAGAAGCAGCCGAGATTACCGCTGGATTCTATCCACCAATGCCAACATATGCGAATCAAGAGGAGAAGGTGTTCGAAAAGCTTCCGCCGCATCGACGGACTGTAAATCGTATTCCGAATTCCGTGCCGAATCCGATCCCGATTCGAAAAGTGCCCCTTCAACGGATGGTGCCAGGAGGAAGGCCATCGATTCTTCGATCTACCCTACCACCATCGAGAACTTTGGGGCTACCGTTGACAGCGAAGAGACCAGTGGTACCGCGAGAATCTCCTCCAGGCAACGTTGTCACTGAGGAAAAACCTAGGGATTTGTTGGATATCCTCCAGGAGCCGAGCCAGGAGAAGGAGATCAAACTCGAGGAACCTGATGATTTTTGGGATTCGGCACCTTCCGGACCGTCTACTTCCGCCGCCTCGGCTCCATCTACCTCTACACAACCATCCACCTATCAGACATCCCTCAAAGGCATACCTCAGAAAATAGCCACCCACAATTTTGTTCAAAAATTCGCTCAAAAACAGAACTTTATAATTAAGAAGAAGCCGTTGCCACCGCCCATCTCGATTCGAGCCAACATGCCACGGATTCAGCAGGAGTATAAGCCGGAGCTGTTTAATGTAGGTGACAGGGAGAGGATTCTAGCTAGATTTTGAAAGATTTCAGATGGCATTCCAACCGCAAGAGACGGTGTACAGTCAGACGATGAATGCGGCGTCGGTGGCGGATGCTTATGAGAGGTAGGGAACAGAAAACAGGGATGATCGGGACGGGATTCCGGCAAATTCTGAATTTTCAAAATTTTCGGAAAATGCTCAATTTCTGGAAAATTCTGAAATTCCGAAAATTTTGAAACTGCGAGTTTTCAGAATTCTGAAAAAATGGCGAAATTTTCAAAATGGGCATATTCCGAAATTCCGAAAAATTCTGAAATTACAAAAACTGGAATTTCGGAAATTCCGGATTTCTGAAATGTTAAAAATCAGATTTTTTCCGAAATTTTGAAACTCGGAATTCTAAAAATTCTCAAATTTTCAAAGACGTGATTTCGGTAAGTCGGGATTTTCGAAATTTTTAAAAATCGGAATTTTCCGGAAGTCTAAAACTTTGAAGCTCGGAATTTTCGAAATTATGAAATTCCGAATATTCTGGATGTTTCTTATTTTCTGGAAATTCCTAATACCTCTAAAATCTCGAAAATTTTTGAAATTCCTGAAATTTCGACCGGAATATCTTTCAAAAATTTCCGGAAGGTCTGGAAATTATTTTAAAATTACTTTGACTTTCTGAAAATTTCAAAATCGGTATTGGCCGAAATTTTGAAAATTTATGAATAGGCCATTCCGAGCATTTTGGTAAAAGAAAAAATATGAAAATCTAGCTTAAATCCCAAATGTTCCAGACACCGTATCAATGTGGAAATGGTCAAAAGTCGTCCGTGCAACCGCCGTTGCACAGTGTGCGGCCATTTGGAGGTCCACGAGAAGCTGAAGAACGTCACAATAGACAATGAGAAGCTGTTGATCATGTTGGGATGCATCTATCGACAGGAATACACTCTCCGAGAAGCCATCTCCTTCATGAATCGGGAATCCAAAACGTATATATGTTTGATGCATTTCGAGGAGACCGTCGATGAGATTTACACAATGTTGCGGCTATCGTGTCCAGATGATATTAATACATGCTCTGATGATTTGATTCAGAATGCGTTGATTACTGTAACGGCGCTTCGACCATTTATCCAAATCAAGCAGTTGAGAAAGATCTTGTTTGATTTCACGCTGAAGAATAATCATACGAGAGCCACCATGACGGTAAGCAGTACACTATGAAATCAATTATCTCGGCTCCCCTGAGAGATATCAGCATTTTGTCAACTGATAAAATATTGGTAATATTATGATAGGTAATTCATCAGTTGACAGAAATTTGATATCTCTCATAGGAACCGAGATAATTGAGCTGAAAGGCACGTAAAGTATAGACTTCTGACAATGAAAGGATTTTAGGACTGGATGAATGCATTAGAAGACGTTCCCCTGCCAACAGCTCCCAAAACTGATAATCTGGATGACCAGGAAATAACACCGAAGGTGAATCGAGCGCCACGGAAGCAGGTTCTCGAGGAGGATCAGCATGACAAAACGGTCAAACTCATAGAGCAGGAAGAGTTTAAACTTCCCACTGTCCAGCAATCTGATAACGAGGAATGCGCGAATCCTACAGTTTGCTGCTACTGCTCAAAACGGGGATCTAGGCTGAAGATGCATCGTGTGCCACGCACCGAGGATCGGTTGCAGAGATGGATAGAGAAATTGGGATCGGTATTTGAGAAGCGGCTCAAGGCGGAGGAGGATAATTTTGTCTGCAAGAGCCACTTCCCAGAAGACGCGTTTAGTAGTCGTGGACGTCTGATGAAGGGGATGATTCCGTTTTCAGAGGCTGAGAAGAAAGAAGTCACTTATAAGATTCAAGGGGACAGTTTTCTGAAGCTCAATGAGCAGAAGTCGATGCCAAGTGCTAAGGAGCAGTCTGTATCCGTCGAGAGGAATTCTGATCTTGGAAGTCCCCACTTTGGGCAGAAAATTGAAAAAAGAGGAAGACCAAAAGGAGCTACGAAGGCAGTTGCGCTGACGAAAATTGTTCCAAGGAAGCCAGAGGAGCCAGAACTCAAAGAAGTGAAATTGGAAGAGCCCGAAGAGGAGGAATATCTGGAAGACGACGAAGATGATTTTGAAGATCTACAGAAACTATCCAAAGGAGACCATGATTATATACCGGAACGATGGAATGCAGGCCCTAGAAGACAAAGAAAAGCGCCGACGTCTTCTGAGGAGTCAGATGCAGATGCGAGGAAGTCGAAGAGGAAAGCTGTGAGGAGAAAAGCGTCGGAGGAGGTGTTGGACGGTGATGATGATTGGCAGCCGAAAAAGGTAAAAACTTGAAAATCTGAAAGATGGTCTAACTTTCCCCCAGATGAGTATTCTAGGTCATTGATCTTTTTAGGTCATCTGGAATAGCTGTCCTAGTCAAATGGCCTCGAAATTTCACCTGGAGAAAGTTAGACCACGAAGCTTGGTGGCCTCTTCATGAATTTCCTAGGCCACCAGCGTGTTGGACTAGCTTTCTACAAATGAGAATTCTAGGTCATGTAATTTAATGACCGAAAACGCTTTAGAGGATTTTCCTATGTCAACCAGCTTGGTGGCCTAACTTTCTCTAATTGAGTTTTCTAGGCCATCACTCCAGTCCCATTTAGCCTGATGGCCTAGGAAATACATCGAGAGAATGCTAGGCCATCAAGCTTGGCCCAGAATAGCAATCTGGAGAAAGTTAGGCCGCGAAGCGAGCTAGAAAATGCTGTATTCTAGGCCACACAGTTTGGTTGCCTCACTTTCTCCGAGTCATCTTCTCTGTCATTTTTTGTTTTAAGTTTGCTCACTTTTAGATGTGTACATTTTGACATGGTGGCCTAGCTTTTGCAAGTTAGGTTTTCTAGGCCACCACCTTTTGGCCTAGAAATGGCCTAACATGACTCTGTTATGTTTTCTAGGTCATGTCGCCATAGCGGCCTAACTTTTGCAAACCGAGTTTTCTAGGCCACCATGGTAAAATGACCTAGAAAACAGCAGATGAATATCGGGACATTTCTACATGATGGCCTAGAAATCTCAACTTGCAAAAGTTAGGCCACCATGTCAAAATGACCCTTCTTTTCAATTTTTAGTCATTTTCATTGGCGGTTGTGGCCTAGAAAACCGTTTCTAATTCTTTTCTATTTTTCAGAGAGTTCATTGCTAGCTTTGCCACGTCATCACATCATCGCTGATCTTCTGAATTTTCTCAAATTTGAATTTTATAATTTTGCTTATTTATATATCCATATTCAAGATTTTGTGGTTTTATAATAAAGAACTTTTTAAAATTTTTTCATTAAAAATGTTAAAGAAACGGGTTGTCAACCAGTTTTTTGTTTGCTTTTTAGCTCGTTTTTTTTGGAATTTAAAAACAAAAATCCATTTTTCAGTGCTGAAAAATGTCTGCAAAATTCCAAGAAATTCGGCAACAGAACGTTGAAAAATGCCGAAAACGGCGAGAAAAATACGACGAAGAAACTGGACGACTTTTCGATGCGTTCTGCACTGGAGCTGGAATCGATAAGAGTTTTATTTCGATTCTTCCGGAATTTCAGAATTTTTTTTTGCATTTAAATCCGGCCGCACAGTTGCCAAGCGGTGATTCTTCGTTGGAGGTTAGAAATTGGTCGGAAACTTTTGGCAAACATACTGGAAATTTGAAAATTATGGCTTACAAATAGCTCGAAAAAGGTCAAAAAGGAGTTAAAATTTTTTTAAAATTTTTCAGACATTTTTACTCGAAATCGGTTCTGGAATTTTCTAGAAAATTAGAATTTCTGAATTTTCAAATTTCCTGAATTTTAGAAATTTCGGAAACAGTATTTTTTTTTCTGAAAATTTCTTTTAAAATTGCTTTCGCGAAATTCTCAAATTTTTTTAGTTTTTCAGGTTTTTCAATTTTTTTCGTTTTCGATTTCGTTTTTCGATTTTTGCTCGAGGCGACGAAATCGACACCGATTTTAACGATTTTCGTCGATTTTTGTCGATTGTCAACAATCGACACAGCACACTACTCCTCTCTGTTCCATGTTAGATATGCATCCATATTGCTGCGTAGCGACTCAGGCATGATACAACAGTATTTTTCCTTTTGTTCATTCTCCCTCTCTCTCTTTTTTTTCATTATCTGTCTGTTGCACGATACGCATTTGCATTGTTTCCTTTTTGTTTTTTTTCACCAGTCAAATAAACATTTTCAAAATGTTTTGATATTCCCTTCAAAGTACGCTTCAAACATTTTGAACATGCTAAAGAACTCTATTGATTTCTTTAAACTTCTTTTTTTGCCTATTTCCGACTATGGTAATTCCATAACTTCTTCCAGATGCCGATTGCTCTTCTAAAATTCCCTTACGATCTTCTTGGAGAAGTTTTTAAACAGTGTAATCCTCTTGAACTGTAAGTTTTTAAGGTGAGTCATCATAAACTAGAATCTTCATATTTTCAGGTATTTCTTGTCAAAATGCTCGAAGAAAGCTCAAAAGACTGTCAAGTTGGGAGGCAGTATGAACTGGAAAATTTGCTATTGGGGCAGGGAGCAGATACTTATATGGCGAGATGACTTGAATTATATTTTCGATCCAACTGACAAACCAGAAGATTATTTTAAAATAGAATCTTGCGAAAGTATGAAGATTCCAAAAGAAGGGGCTTTCGATATGTTCTTCTATCTAATCGAAACTTTTGGAATGTGTATTGTGAAATCACTGGAAATTCAGTCTGGTAACTTTCATAATTTTTTGGAAATAACGAAAGTTTTGATCGAAAGAAACATGGAAATCGAACACTTCTATATTGGAGAAACTCTAGATCTGAACGAAGTTGTCAACGTTTTGCCACTTATCAGTCAGATGAATATCACCAAGGAGTTGCAATGTAGGAATAGCTTTCCGCCAAATTTCGACTATCAGTTGGACAAGTACCCAAACAGCATTAGGATTTACGACTCTCCTTGGTTCGGTATCAATCAACTACTGAAGTGTCCTTGTACTCGGATCGAACTAGGAGATTCAGGACTGAGCAATCAAGATCTGAATGTATTCTTCAGAGAATGGAAGAAGACAGAAGCATTCCCAAATAAACAGTTTCCAGGTTGGGCGAGGATGATTACATTTTCATGTGCGACGCAGTCAAAGTCTATAAGGATGATGGCACGGAAGCGTGGTTGGATGTGGAGTTAGGAGACGTTTCAAAACTGGAATTTTTAGTGTAAGATGTTGTGATTATTTGGAAAATGAACTGGATCAAATTTTGCAGATGGGACCCAGACAGAGACATGTGGGAAGATGAGGAATTAGTTCCGAGTGATGATGAGAGGTATGAAGATGAAGAGTTTGACGATGAAGAGTTTGACGATGAAGAGACGGAAGATGAAGAACCTGATGAAGAAGAATCAGACGAGGAAGGATTTGATGGTGAAGAACCTGAAAGTTGACTCCACAATTTGGACCATCCAAATTATTTGCTCCCCGAATCGTGAAGATCGCATTATTCCTCAATAAGTTTTGTACCCTCCAAACTAATCTCATATCTTTTCTACTTGTGTCTCTTTGTCTTATTCCTGTCTAATGCTTTGCCTTTTTCTCTGCGTGTCTATTTTCTCAATCTATGACTCCTATTTTTGTTTATACACCATAATTAGTCTTGAATAGGGGTGGAGTTTTCTTGCATGCCTATGGGCAGGTGTTCTCAGTTTCCACTTTCGTCTCTTTCTCTGTTATCTCCTCTCTGTTCCATGTTAGCTGTGCAGCCATTTTGCTGCGCAGCGACTCAGCCATGATACAACAGTATTTCCCCTACTCTTCCTTCTCTCCAATTTGCCTTGTTTCCTCGTTGTTTACTGTCTATACAATAAAATGTGGGCAAGGAGCGTGGGCTAATGTGACACGCCCCTTTATGAAACGTGTGAGAAAAGAAATTTTTGAACGCGTTTCAAAAGGTTTTTGCACTTTTGAGATAGGAAAAAATGACTTCTGCCTCAATTTCAAACTTTAAAAATTCCCCGAAACTTTGAAAGCTAGAACATTTGAAAATTTCGAAATTTTGATGATCAGAATACTCCGAAATTTTGGGAAATTTGGAATTCGGAATTTTCGACATCCTAAAAATTCCGAGAAGGCTATTCTGAACATCCCCAACAACATAACATGGGAAATAAACACAAAGCACAGAAAAAAATGCAATTTCAAATTCCCTCCAATTTCCGCTAAACCGGGCGCACTACGACACTCCGCTGTGAACGAAAAAAATTCAGATTTTTTTCAGCATTAAAAAATGATTCCCCGGTGTTTAGCCACCCGATTTTATTCAAATTCCGCCCAAAAACCTCGGAAAAAAGTCGATTGTGCAGTCTATGGGTGCGGACTGTCGGCTTCCGGCGCATTGGCCATACCAAAATTGATTCAAAATTCTACAGACGATGTCACAGCGAGTGAAGCAAAGTATCCGAAGAGGATAACGTATTTCAATACAAAAAGTATAAAAAATGTCACTTCGGGCTTCGGATTCTCACTTTTCGCATCGGAAAATCGGCTTTATGGCGCTGGAATTAATAATCGGTGGGTTTTCTTTTTTTACTAGCGAAAATTATCAATTTTAGCTTCCAGATTGGCGGCCAGCTTACAGATCCGTCGAAATTCCAGGATTATTACATTTCCGCGAAGAAAATCAATATTCCAGCCGAAGAGATTCTGGAAATTTCATCGGGACGAGCCCACTCATTAATTCGAACCGAAAAAGGAGTTTTTGCAATTGGAGATAATAATTTTGGACAGTGTGGAAGGGATCCGACGGTTTTAGAGCATATTGTGGGCAGTGATGATTCCCCACTTCAACCTCTGACTCCGCCCACTTCCAACCCAATCGTCTCGATTCATTGCTCTCTAGACACATCATTCATCGTGGATTCTGAAGGAAAAGTGTTCAGTTTCGGACTAGGAGAAGATGGTCAGTGTGGAAATGAGTCTTATGGAATACAATGGAACCCATCGTCAGTGAAGGGAGATTTAGAAGGCGTGCGGATTCAGAAGATCGCCGGAAGTACTGATACGGTGATGGCGTTGAGTGACGAGGGAGAGGCGTTTGTTTGGGGACAGACAGAGTATGGGCAAGCGGTTGGGGCCACGGATCAGATTCAGGTAGGATAAAAGATATGAAAAGTTTATATATTATTCTGGTACGAAAATTGGATCTGGGGAAGAGAGACAACTACAGTAACCCAGAATAGTATTAAAATTGGCAGAAACTGTACAAAAATTGGGTGAATTCGGAAAATAACAGTATTTTTAGGTTACGCCGGTGGCCGTGACCAAAAATTTGGCGAACTTTCGAAAGAAAAATTGATTTTTTCTCCGTTTTTTTTTTTTGCAAAATGTTTAGACCTTTTTAAGTTTTTCAGCGATTTTTGAAGATTCTTTTTTGATTTTTCCGAATTTTTTTAGACTGAAATTTGATGGAAAGGTGTTTGATTACTGTAGATTACTGTAGAAAACTTTGTAGTTTCTAGTTTTCTTCTTGCAAGAAAAATCAATTTTTTATCTGCATATCCTACAGTAGTCAAAAACCGTTCCATCAACTTTCAGACTAAAAAGTTCGGAAAAATCGAAAAAGAATCTTTGAAAATAGCTGAAAAACCTAAAAAGGTCTAAAAATTTTGCCGAAATATCGGAAAAAACCAAATTTGTCTTCCGAAAAATCGCTAAATTTTTTACTGATTTTCGTCGATTTTTTCCATAAAATTTCGGTTTTTTTCGAGAAAATAAATACGGAAAATGAAAGTATTTTTAGGTTACGGTAGTTGTCGTTGTGGGACCTTCGAGAATATTTCTGATCAAAATTTCGCATTTTTCGCCCTAAAATTCTTCATTTCACACTCAATTTCTTTCCAGCTCAACGTATCCCGTCATCTGAATCTCTCCTCAACAATCGGTCCGATTTCATCCATCGCGACGACCCAATCATCAGTGATTGCTCAGAATAAAAATGGAGAAGTGTTCGTTTGGGGTGTTGGAGTGCTCGGAATGGGACCAGAAGCCGAGGTTTTGAAGCGGCCCACTCGAATGGATCAGCCACTTTTTGATGGGAAAAAGGTGCGGGGTTTTAGGTCTCTAAAATCTGCCGAATTTTCAGTTTTGTCAGAAAATTTGGTGTTAAATTGCTAGATGGAGATAGGATTCTTATTATGAGAATTCCGAATAAAATAACTGAAAAGTTCTGAAAAATAGGAAAAAGCAGCAAAAAATGCTGGAGAAATAAACGAAATGTTGGGCCAAAAAGCCTATTCTCCATGCTTGCAAACGGGCCCTGTCATAGCTTCTTTTAGGATCAATATTTCTTTACCAACTAAGTTAGATATGATAGAACTCGACGAGTACTCCAAAATGATATTATTTGGGACTATTTATAATGTCTGAACAAAGCTACAAGCCAAAATGCTGCAAATCCTGGCCGGGCCGTTTGGTCTGTAACTTGGTTCACAGACATGATGCAGTGGCCCAATTAGTATCATTTTGTAGTGCTCGTCGAATTCTATCAAATCTGATTTAGTTGGTCAAGAAACTATGACAAAGCCCATTTTTGGTGATTTCGCAAGTATGCTATTTTCAAGCCAAAAAGTGACATTTTCAAAATTTTAAATTCGAAATCTTCGAACTCCGAGTTTTCAGATCACCTCTGTATCTGCTGGAAACAGCTGTATGTCAGCTACAAATGAATCTGGTCGGCTATTCATCTGGGGAGAAAATCGATATTCGTCTCTTGGCCTGGGACACTCCAAACGACAACTCTTCCCTTATCAACTATTCCTTCCTGGAGACGTTCGCCACGTGGCACTCGGTCCTGATCATTCTCTGTTTTTCGTTAATTAGATTATGCTAATTATGCACCTTTTTTGCACTAATTATCTAATTAGGTTGTAGATTTGCTTGTCTTCTATGTCTTTTTACATAGCTAAAAATACATATTTTCGGGTTTATTTTGTTGATTTTATTATTTTTTTCTTGAAAAAGTCGTATTTAATGTCTTTAGATTCAATGATTCAGAAGCGTTCGGGCCGCTTTTTATATCCTTTTTTTTAAACTTTTAAATTTTAGACGAATTCTCTATTTTTAATTCTAAAATTAGATATTTTTCAATACATGTGACTATTTTTTTTATCAGGTGATAAGCTATATTTATTTATTGACGTTGGTCGAAAATTTGTTTTAGGGTTTTCTTCTAATTTTTGAGAGTTTTTAGCCGGTTTTCAGGCCATTGTGTTCGAAAATTTTGAATCCTTTCGAGTGGATGACTCTGAAAAATCTGGAAATAGGGAAAATTTCAGAGTTTTGCACAAAAATCCAGAAAATTGGTTTTTCTGCGATTTTTTGCCAAATTTTAAAGACTTTTTTCGGGTTTTCAGCTTATTTTCAAAGATTCTTTTTCGTTTTTTCCGATTTTCTTTGTCTGAAATTTGATGGAACGGTGTTTGATTACGGTAGATTACTACAGTACTCTACAAAAGTTTATTTCCACCCTCAGTTTGTACTGAAACACCTATTAGGTCAATGTTGGTGAAAAGGTGTCAACATGAAAAATAAGGGACTCCCTTCAAAACCTACGTACGAAAAACTTGGAGCCATCAACGTGATCCGGAAACGAGAAACCGGAAAAATTCTGAAAATCACGTTTTGGCCGATCCACAAAAGTTTAATTCCACTCTGAAAAAGTGAGATTTTGGAGGTTTTGAAACTCTGCGACCTTTTTTTGAAGGCCTGAATTTGAAGAATTTTAAGATTATGACCCCCATACACAGAGACCATTATACACGGTTACCGATATCCGGATTTCCGGATTCCGGTATTAGGATTTCCGGGTTCAGAATTCCGGATTCCGGTTTTTTTGGGTTCTGGATTATGTTTACTGAATTGTGTGTAGTGGATTTAGAATATGTACAAGGATTCTGTGTTCCGGATTCCGGATGATGGATTCCGGTTTCCGGATTAGCTTTTTGAATGAGTTAAAATGTCCCGAGAAACTGAATTTCAGGTTTTCTTGACAAATAAGCGTTTCAGAAAGTTTCTGGACAGTTGCGAAAGCTTCTGAGGTTCTGAGGGATTCTGAAGGGACCTGGAGTTCTGGGAGATTCTCCAGAATCATGAGAAACGGCCCAGTAGATTGCGTTCTAACTACCACGACCTCCGAAAACAAAAAATAAGATTCTCGTGAAGAAGTTTCACTGATGAAGGCGTGATGGCAAGGACGACAATCTCGTCAGCAGGTCCAATCAAACAGTTTTTGTTTCGAAGAAGATGACCGGATCCGACTATCAACTCATCGTCTCGGAATTTCGTCTTTTTGGAGTAGAAACATGAATTGGAATATCGTCTTCATGCACGTTGGTGTTTTCGGAGGTCGTGGTAGTTAGAACGCAATCTACTGTGCCGTTTCTCATGATCCTGGAGAATCTCCCAGAATTCCAGGTCCCTTCGGAATCCTTCAGAACCTCAGAAGCTTTCGTAACTGCCCAGAAACTTTCTGAAACGCTTATTTGTCAAGAAAACCTGAAATTCAGATTCTCGGGACACTTTAACTCATTCAGAAAGCTAATCCGGAAACCGGAATCCATCATCCGGAATCCGGAACACAGAATCCTTGTACATATACTAAATCCACTACACACAATTCAGTAAACATAATCCAGAACCCAAAAAAACCGGAATCCGGAATTCTGAACCCGGAAATCCTGATTCCGGAATCCGGAAATCCGGATATCTGACATCCGGAATCCGGATATCAGTAACCGTGTATAATGGTCTCTGTGTATGGGGGTCAGAATCTTAAAATTCTTCAAATTCAGGCCTTCAAAAAAAGGTCGCAGAGTTTCAAAACCTCCAAAATCTCACTTTTTCAGAGTGGAATTAAACTTTTGTGGATCGGCCAAAACGTGATTTTCGGAATTTTTCCGGTTTCTCGTTTCCGGATCACGTTGATGGCTCCAAGTTTTTCGTACGTAGGTTTTGAAGGGAGACCCTTATTTTTCATGTTGACACCTTTTCACCAACATTGACCTAAATAGGTGTTTCAGTACAAACTGAGGGTGGAATCAAACTTTTGTGGAGTACTGTATAGAAAAACTCTTGTAGTTTGGAGTTTTTTTTTGCAAGCAAAATCACGTGAAAATTGTGTTTGCAGAATAAAACTACAAAAGGAAATTAGGTTTTCTACAGTAATCAAACACCGTTCCATCAAATTTCAGACTAAAAAGTTCAGAAAAATCAAAATAGAATCTTTGAAAATGGCTGAAAAACCTAAAATGGTCTAGAAATATTGCAAAAAATCGAAGAAAATATAGATTTTTCTTTCGAAAAATTGCAAAAAATCGCTAAATTTTTCACAGATTTTCGCCGATTTTTTCAAAAATTTCGACAAAAATCATTGAAAACCAAAATAAAAAATCCGGAAAATATTAATATTTTTAGGTTACTTAGTTGCCGTTAGTTCCGAAATCGTACCCGAATTATAACGAACTTCCTCTGAAAAAGTTTTCGTCGTTTCTATCGCGAATCCCGTTTTCCAGGATGGTTGTGAAGGCTGCCGGACTGGTGATCTACCGTAAGCTGGCTGGGAAAATCGAATTTCTGCTTCTCCAAGCATCCTACCCACCGTACCACTGGACCCCACCAAAAGGACACGTGGATCCAGGAGAGGATGAGTGGCAAGCGGCGATTCGAGAGACGAAGGAAGAGGCGAATTTGAATAAGGAGCAACTGACGATCCATGAGGATTGTCATGAGACACTTTATTATGAGGTAGAGAGATTATTTTATGGAAGAAATAATGTTTTCTATCGATTTTTTAGGCCAAAGGAAAGCCAAAATCCGTCAAATACTGGCTTGCCCTTCTCAACAATCCAGATGATGTCACGCTGTCTCATGAGCATCAGAACTGGAAGTGGTGTGAGGTTGAGGATGCGATCAAGATTGCCGACTACGCGGAGATGGCACAACTTTTCCGAAAATTCTATAAATATTTGAATGCCTAAATTGTAATTGTTGCCCGTCAGACCTTTATTTATGAAGTATATTTATTTGAAAAGCGATAAAAAATGAACAGCAGAATAATACAGCACAAGAGGAGATTAACAATATACAAACTATTCATAAAAAGTCAATAAATTACACACTCTTCGGCTTCAAATGACACTTTTCGGTGGCCAGCTCGTCGAGTTTCTGCTGATTCAGACCACTAACTGCCGTCGTATCCCACTCTCGATTGTCTTCTGGATCTTCGCCGGTCAGTGCGACACGCCAAATCATTCGGGCGATGAACTGGGAAATCATTATCTATTTGACGAAATTTTAGAATTTTTTGAATAAAACACATTCGAGGGTGGGCGGAGCTTAGGTCCGGTAAAAAATTATTAAAGACGCATGTATTTTTAGTAATTGTTTACTGGCTTTTTTTTCGATTTTTCGAAAAAACGCTAAACATTCGCATGAAAACATGGCAAATTATAGAAAAGTCGATAACATTCGTCGATAAATCGGATTCGATAATTTTCATAGTTTTTATGTGATTTTTTTTGCGACTTGCCGGTTTTTTGTAATAAAAACTTCCATATTTTGGCTTTTTTATCGATTTTTCGATGAATTTTATCGATCTTTTAAAAAGCCTTTTAAAAGCTTTTTAATTTTCTTTTTGCGAAAAATCGCATTAAAACAATGAAAATTGTCGATAAATTGATTAAATTCTCAGAAAAATCGAGAAAAAATAGGCCAGAAAATAATACCGAAAAATAAAGCTCAATTAAAGAATTCGCTGCCGGACCTAAGCTCCGCCCATATTCGAATTTTCAAGGAATTAGACCAAAATAGTAGCTCAATCGCTCTATTTTGCTTTTTTTTTCGTTTAAAAGCAAGGAAAATATTCAAAATTCCGCGAAAAATCGGAAAAAAAATGTTAAAAATTTCAGAAAAAAACTGTAGAAGAAATATGCTAAAAATATGATTTTTCAATTGAAAAAGTATTACAATTCGCGAAAAAAAAAACGAAAATTCCTTATATTCCATGGGACCAAATGCTTTTGTTTAATTTCAGAAAAATATAACTTCTCAAGCTTTTTCAGACGGAACGAAAAGTTTGAAATTCTGAAAAATTAGTTAAATTATTTATTTTTTTTTTGGACTTTCCCAAGCTTCAATTATTGATTGGAAATCTGAAATCTTCAAAAGTTCGATCAATTTTCAAAAGTTTATCTAATTTCATTTATCACTTTATTAGAATGCCCGAAACCGTTTAACTTTGAATCAATATATCTAATTTCCCGTAAAAGATATCAAAAAGCAGTTAACTGATAAAATATTTTTAATATTATGATGAACATTTTATCAGCTGACGACTCTTTGATATCTCTCACAGAAATTGAGATAAATTGGCTCAAAGTTGACGATTCATAAACCCATATCTGCCTTTCTTTCACCCGAACAAAACAACGATTTTTCAAAAACTCACATTAAACCAATAGACATTCATAGCAAAAATAATCAACAACATTGCTCCAAGCAACGGGAAAAATGGTGCATCCTGTGGTCCCAAATAAACGGCTCCGTAGATAGTGGCATACAGTAATTTGCATGTGTACCAATATAAACGGAATATCACCCAAATGATGGCAAACAGGATGAACGCTGCGTTTCCCATTAGGAAGTAGTATTTGTAGTATTGGCCATTGGTTCGTTTTTTGAGATAAAATGAGAGTTTTGTGATTTCCAGAGTGGCATCTGAGTTGTCATGGAGGAATAGAACAAGCACTCCGGGAAGTGTGAAACTGGAAAAAAGATTGAATTGAAGCACTACAGTAATCCTTAACTAACAATCCTGATTTCGAAAAATCCTAGAATTATCAGAATCATAAAATTACAGAATCTCAGAATCCTAGAAATCCAAAATCTCAGAAATTCAAAAACTCAGTCATTCAAAAATTCAAAAATCCAAAAATTCAGACATTCGGGAATTCAAAACTTCGGAAATTCAGAAATTGCATTTTCTAATAGATCCTTCCCTACAGTAATCCTTTTTGATTTTCAAATATTTTTTCTCAAAAAACCTCCGTCGATTTTGAACCTCTATAACTCATTTCCTAAAAAAAGATATCAATAAGTAGTCAACTAATAAAATATTTATCATAATATCAGAAACATTTTATTTGTTGACCACTTTTTGACATCTCTTACAGTAATCTAGATAAACTGCCTTAAAGTTGAGAGGTAGGCCGCCGATCATGTACGCCAGCCGGAATGCGCCGACAAGTCAACTTTGCACCTTCATATCTCATTTCCTAGGGAAGATATCAAAAAGTGGCCAACTGGTGAAATATGTATCATTACATCAAAAATATTTTATCAGTTAACCACTTTTTGATATCTCCTACAGTAACCGAGATAAACTGGCTCAAAATGGACAATCAGAGTGTAGCAACTTTTTAGGGCTTCAATCTTGATCTTTTAAACACGGAAGTTTTGAAATTTACTCACTTATCCACATAAGACAAGAACAACAATCCAAGTGCGACAAAGTGATGAACGAACATCAACCAAGAGTCTTTTCTCCACAAATCCATAAAAAGTGTCGCATAAATCGAATGGATATAAAACGCCGATTGCACAGCATAGATTATTTGAACCTGCCAGTGCATTTTGGGTTTTTGGCCTGATTCCCATTCTGGAACCATTTTTGTTTTTAAGGATATCAAGTCTGACGTTTTTAACGAAGCTAGAAATGGATTTTCAGAGTTTCCGGCTTGAAGCCCACCCAACCAGTCATCGTTATTCTTAATTATCTCGGTTCCTCTAAAAGATATCAAAAAGTGGTAAACTGATTAAATGTTGCTGATATTATGAAAAATGTTTTGATAGTTGACTACTTTTTGATGTCTTCTACAGTAACCTAGATAAATTGCCTTGAATTTAAGAGGTCGGCAGCCGACGGTGTAGTTCAGCCGACAAGCGCCGACTTGCCAACTTTGAGCTCAATTATCTCGGTTCCTATAAGAGCTATCAGAATAATGTTAACTGATAAAATGTTGGTGATATTATGATCAATAATTTATCAGTTGACAAGTTTTTGATATCTTTCACAGGTAAGGAGATATCTAAGCTCAAATTTAACAAATCGGCGCTTGCCGGCTGAGCCACATGATTAGATGCCGATCTCTCAGCTTTGGATCAATTTATCTCGGTTCCTATAGGAGATATTAAAAATCTGTCAACAGACAAAATGTTGGTGGTATTCTGATAAATAATTTATCAGTTGACCACTTTTTGATATCTTTTACAGGAAATGAGATATACGGGCTTGAATTTAACGCTTTGAAAAGGCAAAATGTCAGCAAATCTCACCAATCCACATTGACAGCGGATCCTCGAAAATATCATGCGACTCGACACACATGTGAAAATAAAATGCAAAGATCCAGACGGTTCCATAATAAGTCAATTTCCAGAATGATTCTGGAACCTTGTGTGCAAACCTGGGATAGATATTGTGTTGTTGGGTCCATGACTGAAAATTTTCAGAATATGTCTTTGGCGTTTTTTCTTAATAAATTTCAGGATTTTTATTGAAGAAATTTTTCAAACTACTGTAGCAGATTATGATTTTAAACTTTTTTAAAAAGTACCTAAAAACTGAAATTGTGGAACCTGTCATAGAAAGCCTCCCTAACAGTTTATTTTGACTACTTCTCAATACCTTCTGCAGGAACCAAGATAAATTGGCTCAAAGTTCACATGTCGGTGTTTGCTGGCTGATCGTGATGTCGGCTGCCGACCTCTTAACTTTGACCCTAATTATCTCAGTTACTGTAAGAGATATCAAAAAGTGGCCAACTAGCAACATGTTTCTGATATTATAATAAACATTTTATCAGTTGACAGCTTTTCAATATCACTAACAGGAACCGAGTTAAATTGGCCCAAAGTTGAGAAGTCGGCGCTTTCCAGCTGAACTACTCGACTGTCGACCTCTTAACTTTGGTCCACTTTATCTCACTTCTTTTAAACGATATCAAACATTGGTCAACTGATAAAATGTTTTTGATATCATGATACACATTTTATCAGTTGACAACTTTTTGATAGCTCTTACAGAAACCGGGTCAAAGTTGACTTTTCTATTTTTTCTTCATATCGCTAGCTTATCATTTAATATTGAATAATACCTCTAATCGAATTTGCAAATAATAACGGAAAATTGTGAAGAATGCAGCCAGGATGAGGACAGTGTAAAGTTCGGCATTGGAAAGAGAAATTTCTGAAATTTTGGATTATAAATCTGAAAAAGAGAAAAAAAAGAGGCTTACTTTTGAAATCAGAGATCAATGTTGATGGGAATGAGTAATCGGGTCGGAGACGGGCATATCGACGGACCCAATGCGGAATTGATTCATACACTAGGCCTGCCTGAAATTTGAAAAATTATCATTTAATCTCTCAATTTTTTTTCATTGAAACAGTCTAACTTCTAAAAACTCACACTTTCGGAAAAATTTTTATTTGGAAAAAAAATTTTTTTAGGAAATTAAAAAAAATTTTTTTAGGAAATTAAAAAAAAAAAATTTTTAACAAAAACATGGTTATTATATACTATTCGATGTGAAATTTGAAAATAAATGCAGTTTTTGTTAACCAAAAAACCTGAAAATCAGCTTGAAATAAGTTATAATCAGAAAACCTCAAAATTTTAGCTGAAATTATCCAAAATTTGAGAAAAGTGCTCATTTTCTTGGCTCCTATGCAAGATATCAAAAATGGTCAATTGACATAATGTTTTCGATATTATGATAAACATTTTATGACTTCACGACGTTTCGATATCTTTTACAGTAATCTAGATAAACTGCCTTAAAGTTGAGAGGTAGGCCGCCGATCATGTACGCCAGCCGGAATGCGCCGACAAGTCAACTTTGCACCTTCATATCTCATTTCCTAGGGAAGATATCAAAAAGTGGCCAACTGATAAAATATTTATCATTACATCAAAAACATTTTATCGGTTGACCACTTTTTGATATCTCCTACAGTAACCGAGATAAATTGGCTCAAAATGGACAGTCAGAGTGTAATAACCAAAATCGAGAGTTGTGCCAGTTCAAAACCTCTTATCTCGTCAATTACAAAAATGAAGCACTATTTTTGTTTAGTACACTCTGAAATTTTCAGACAAATTGGACAATTCGGGACCACTAGTCGTAGTCGTTGGAATTTACCTACCGTACCTTCTCAATTAGAAGCCCACCCGAACCATTAACTTTGAACTCAATTATCTCGGTTCCTGTAAAATATATCAATAAAGTTTTCAACTGATAAAATGTAGGTGATATTATGATGAATAATGTATCAGTTGACAAGGTTTTGATATCTTTCACAGGATCCGAGATAATTGAGCTCAAAGTTAACCGTGTGGGTGGGCTTCTATTAGAGGGAATACAGAAATAATTTGTGGTACTGTAAAAATAGTTTAATTTCAACCAAGACTCACAAGTATAAATGGGTTTGCAGTTGAAGTACGGTAGATCGACGGGTGTGTTATATTGAATTCGGGTCCTATCATTTTCGAAATCCTTAAGTTGGCATTCCTTTTTTACCTGAAATTCCTTTTTTTGGAAATTTTTATCAATTGACACCTGTCCCAAACTATTGAAAACATTATTATGTAACAAAAAGTGAAAAAAGATTTTTGTGGGCAAATTGAGGGGAGAGAGAGCAAATATTTGAATGTTAAGGGGAGAGAAAAGAGCAAGAAGAAATGATTTTTCTACAAGAAAAAGGACAAGGGAATAAGAGAAAAGTTGTTGAGCATTGGAGGAAACAGGATGGACTGACGAGAGGACAAATGAAGACTAGACTAATAGGATGAATGAGGAAAACGGGAAGAGGGGGAGAGGGGTAAAAGGGCAAAGGGCAAAGGGTATTTTTGCATTGAAAGAGCAAAACACTTTTAGGGATTGGAATAATTTGCACTTTGAAAAGCTTTTTCAGGTTTCAGGTACAGTACCGGCCACTTTGAGCTCAAATATCTCGGTTCCTTCAAAAGATATCCAAAATTTGTCAACTGATAAAATATTGGTGATATTGTGATGAACACTTTATCAGTTGACATATTTTTGATAACGTTTGAAGAAACCGAAATAATTGAGCTCAAAGTTGACAGTTCGGGTGGTCTTCTATTAAAGAAAATACGGTAGTTTGGTTTAAAAGACTACAAAGTGGTTCGGAATATTTAGATTTGTCTGACAATTTCAAAGTATCTTCCTTATATATAAAACGCTAGACGCGTCTGTTGGTCCCGGTGTCAGTCTGTCCGGTTTTGGGTTTTCAAATGAAAGGTTGGCCGGCACCAAAACCGAACCAGCGGCCTTCCGCTCAATGGCTGCGCACGCACACAGCTGCGCCATGAAGGCTACACCAGGAGAGGGGAGAAATGGCGTAGATGTTTTACAGTGTGATCAAGTTCTATCATATCTAATTTAGTTGGTTTAAAAATATTGTCTCTGAAAGAAACTATGGCGAGGCCCGCCAATATACCGGCAAAGGCCCGGTCGCTAGTATGCGTAAAAGCCCACTCAGACTATCAACCTTGAGGTCAATTACCGTAAAACCTGTATCATACTCCTGTGATACAAAGGCCCTCCGGGGCTACCTTGACAAAATAGAAGGGCCGGCCCTTCTAATACAGGTTTAACGGTATCTCGATTCCCGTGAACGATATCAAAAACAAGTCAACTGACTAAAAATTTTCGTTGATTACCATTTAGTATCTTTTACAGGAAATGAGCTATATGGGCTCAAAGTTGACAGTTTGGACATTACAACTTTGTTGTCTATGTAAAGCGATTTTTAAAACCCCTATTCTAATAACTGAGAGCCCCTCCCCTGTTTTCTTGACCAGGAAAACCCCTTTCCCCGATATATACTACTTAATTTTGTGATTTCCCGGAAATTTTTATGTTTTGTGTCATTTGTGACAAGAGAACACAAAAAATGTTTCTGCTTCTTCTTCCGTGAGCCTTTCTATTTCAAGACACAAACTGAATACAAATAGAACAAGAGGAAAAGGTAGTTCAGTGGTCATTGCTCAGTGGTAACATCCCAAACAGTAACCAAACGGTTTTGGGGTTTTTAGCATCAGGATTTTTAGCTTTAAAATATGTTTCTTATTTTGCATTTTTAAAGGTGGGGGGTCATGAAAAAATAATGTTCTCGAAATTCTGTTTAAATATGCCCCTCGAGGAGTTGAACTTGTCGAGGCGAGTATTGAAGGTGCGGCGCCGCTACCGACTGAGCCATGCGGGCGAAACTGGAGCGGGCGCCTGATTGCATACATAAAGGCGAGGACGACCGCTGTACGCAGAGTGACATTAAGCGTTGTACACCGTTACGGTAGAATGCATACTCTGGCCCCAAAAATCCCCCGTAAAATCTCCTGTCCCCCCACCTTTAAGCAAAAATTTACTAAAATTAATAGTATCAAATTTCAAGTTGGGAAGAGCTCAAGATTTAGTTCAGATACATAACTTTGAGTCAACTTATCTTGGTTCCTGTCAGATATATCAAAAAGTAGTAAACTGCCAAATGTGTCTCATAATGTCAAAAAGTATTTTTTTAGTTGACCACTTTTTCTTATCTCTTACGGAAACCGAGATATATAAGCTCAAAGTGGACAATCGGCGCTTGTCGACTGAGCTACACTGTCGGCTGCCGTTGTCTTAACTTTGAGCTGAATTATCTCGATTCCTGTAAAAGATATCAAAAAGTAATCAACTGACAAAATGTTTTTGAAAATCTGATAAATAATTTATCAGTTGACAAACTTTTGATATCTTTTACAGGAAATATCGGATCAAAGTTGAAAGTCTGAAGGAAGGGGGATTCTATTAGAGTGTATACGGTAATACAGAAAAGCTGAAACTAAAACTAAAACGTCCCGAAATATGTACTTTTTCATAACATGTGCCTATCCCTTCTTACTAGACTAAACAACACAAATGCTCCGCCCCCTGGAGGCATACAAAATGTGCTCATGAATGTTTCATTGGACCCTATTGCTCAGGTTTCCCTTGACAACTATTGTATAGTTTTCTAGACCTCTGAGCTTTTAGTAGTGACCTATTTTTGTTGTTTTTTCAAGAGAAAAACCGGAGAACACACTCTAATAGAAGGCCACCCGAACCGTCAACTTTGAGACTATATATCTCGGTTCATTCGAAAGATACCAAAAAAGTTTCAACTGATAGATTACTTATCATAACACCAGAAACAAATTATTAGTCGACAGATTTACCATATCTTTTATAGGAACCCAGATACGTGAGCTCAAAGCTGGAAGTTCAAGTAAATTGAAGTGATGCCGGACAAACAGATACACAGACAGATTTCTCAAGGCTACAAGAAAGAAATCAATGTTTCATTAGTCAGCTACACGGGGATCCGACATCATTGTCTATTTCATTCAAGTGGCGGTCGGGTTTTTTTCCCAGGGAAACAAAAAAAATGCGTAGTTTGAACCAGAAAATATAGACATCTGGATAAACAGATAAGGGGAAAGACAGCTCTAAAAGAACGCCATCCTACACTTCCACTTTGAGCTCAATTATCTCGGTTCCTATAAGAGATATAAAAAACTTGTCAACTGGTATAATTTTGGTAATATTATGATAAACATTTTATCAATTGACCAAATTTTGATATCTCTTACAGTAACTGAGATAACTACGTTCAAAATGCAAGCAACCGACTCAGCTTCGCGGTTCAATCCGGCGCACTTGGAGCCCAATTATCTCGGTTCCTATAAAAGATATAAAAAATTTGTTAACTGATAAAATTTTAGTGATATTATGACGAACAATTTATCAGTTAACAGATTTTTGATTTCTCTCACAGGAAATGAGATATAAAGATTCCAAGTGGACGAATTTTTAGGGAAAGATATTCGAATATCAAAAGGGTTACTGTAGATAAAAATGACTCGCGGAGAAAAAATTACTGTTGGCAAAAATAATGAAAAGGATCTCCAGAAAACGTCCGAAAAATTGCTCCTCCCATGTTAGACTCTAGTACAACACCAACTTATTAACTAGGTGACAATTGCCATTTCTCCTGCCTAGTCTGAAAAACCAATAAAACGGTAAATCTGGTTTCGTCTCTTTCTCTGCGTCTCCACTTCTTCACAAACTCTCTCTCCGAATGTTTGCTCATTCCAAAAATCAAATAAACTCTTCACCAACTACAATACTCTGACGAATTAATGCTCCCGTACAGACAAGACAGGGGAAGAAGGGGACGGAAATGTTTCAAGTGTACTGTCCGCGTGGAACAAGAAAAAGAGCATGGAGAGGGTGATTAAGGAGGATAATAAGACTAAAAATCAAACGATTAACGAAGAAGAAGAGTTTTGGAATAGTCACGTACCAGCAATGTTAGGACCTGTAATAGAAGTGCGCAATAACTTTGAGCCCATTTACCTCGGTTCCTAAAAGAGCTATCAATGCCCTCCAAACCGTCAATTTTGAGGTCACATATCTCATTTTGTGTGAAAGATGTCAGAAAAAGGTCAACTAATGAAATGCTTATCATAGTATCAGAAACATTTCATCAGTTGACCACTTTTTGCCATCTTCAACAGAAACCGAGATAAATTAGGTCAACGTTAAGAGGTCGGCAGCCGACAAGAGCCCAAGTTGTAAACTTTGAGCCAATTTATCTCGATTCCTGTAAAAGATATCAAGAAGTAATAAACTGGTAAAATGTAGGTGTAGGTGATATTATGATGAACATTTTATCAGTTGACAAGTTTTTGATATCTTTTATAAGAACCGAGATAATTTGTCTTTGAGGTAAGACGACCGCAGCCCCAGTGTAGCTCAGCCAGCGAACGTCGACTTGTACTTTGAGCCTACTTTGAGCCAATTTATCTCGGTTCCTGAAAAATTTATCAAAAAGTGATTAACTGACAAAATGTTTATTATAAAATCAAAATTATTTTGTTAGTTTTTCACTTTTTGATATCTTTTACAATAACCGAGATAAACTGGGTTAACGTTGAGAGGTCGGCAACCGATGGTGTAGTTCAGCCGGCAAGCGTCGACTTGTGAGTTTTGAGCTCACATATCTCGGTTACTGTAGATGATATCAAAAAGTTATAAACTATTAAAATATAGGTGATGTTATGATAAACATTTTATCAGTTGATCACGTTTTGATATCTTACCCAGGAGCCGAGATATATTGGCTGAAAGTTGAGCCTTTCGAGTCTATTCTGTATATTTGGTTGTGAAAACATTATTTTAACTCTGAGATTCCTGGATCATTATATTTTTAGTTAAAAATTGAAAATTCACAATCTTCGATTTTAGAAGTTCAAAATTTTCAAATTTTTTGGTCCGAAAACATGGGTGAAAATTGCAGTTTGGATTTTAAAGATTTTTAGGATGACAGATTTCTAGAATTCAGGATTTTAAAATTCCAAGATTACTGGAATTCTACAAATCATGTTCAAATTTAAGTTAGAGAAAAATGTATTTTTTTTTGGATTTTTAAGATTCTAGGTTTCAAAAATTATTAGAATCTCAGATTTCTGAATTTTGAGATTTAGATATTTTCTTGGAATTCAAAAAATCTAAAATCTCATGATTTAGCCCTAATTTCGGTTTTTTTTGGATTTTTAAGATTCTAGGTTTCAAAAATTATTAGAATCTCCGATTTCTTTAACCCATTGAAATTTCAAAAAACCAAAAAATTGGGGATTCAAAAATTGGAAAAATAAAAAAAAACCAAAAAATTGGGGATTCAAAAATTGGAAAAATTAAAAACGTTTAGATCAAAAAGTCCATTTCTATTGAAATACGAATATTTCAGAAATTTTTCTTAGTTTTTCCGAGCCCAAAAAAAAAATTTAGTTTGAAAAAAATAATTTAAAAAAAATGCTCCAGGCAAAAAATAAAAAAATTGTGCTCAAAAATCAAACCATCCTCTTCCTCAATGCAACCCGCCTACTTTTCCCCCACCCTATTCCATAGTTTGTAGCCTACAAAACTCGCAAAAAGCAGAAGTCTTTCCCTCCTCTTGTTTCTTGAGTTGGTGCTCAGTGAGCACACATATAGAACAATTGAAACATGTATTTTTTCGAGGAAGAAGGAGAAAAAAAATGGATTTCACATTGAGAGGAAAAGAAACTACCGTAAACACTCTAATAGAGCGCCACCCACATTGATATCTTTAACAGGAATGGAGATATATGAGTTCAAAGTTGATGGTTTGGGTGGCGTTCTATTAGAGTGATTACGGTATATTTTGAAAAAAAGAACAACGAAATAAAAACCAGGTCAACAATTGGGATTAAAAAACGGGGAAAGAAGAAAAAGTGGTTATGATAATTAATATTTTTAAGAACAAAGAACAAATAGATTTCTATAATAGTAAAAGAATCGACGAAAAAAAGGAAATTCTAGTCTTCGTCATCCAGGATTATCGCCGCGTCGAAGGCTTTTCTCTTTCGGCTATTGTCGGATGATTCGTCGACGACTACGGTGAAGGTCTCGACACGCTGACCGGGGGCCATTCTGGAAAAAATTCGAAATTTTGAATGTTTTTGAATTTGAAGTATTACGAGAGTTCAGAATTCTGAGATTTTGAAGATTTGAGATTTTGGTATTATAAATTCTAGGCCTCTGAGTTTCTATAACTCGGAAATTCTGCGATTCCGGGCTTTTCAGATTCTAGGTCTAGGTTCTAGGTGTCAAGGATTTTAGAATTTCTTGGTTTTGAGATTCTGTAATTTCGAAAATGGAGGATTTTGAGATTCTATTATTCTAATATTATAATATTCTGAGATTCTAAGATTTTGAAATTCAAAAATTTGGAAATTTCAAGATTCTGAGATTCTGGAATTTTAAGATTTTGAAATTCTGAAAATCTGAGATTTTGTGATTCAAAAATTTTCATATTCTAGATCCCCAAAATCTGAAATTCCGATTTTCTGAAATTTTGAGATTCTGGAATTCCGAAATTCTAAGATACTGAGGTTCTGAAGGATCTCGAATTCTATCCCTTACCCAAACGGAACATCAACCCAATCCTCAGCATCACACAACTCAATCCCCGTCGCTTCGTTTCTCTGCGAAGCCGCCGACACTTCAGAAGACGTGCTGCTCTTCGTACGAGACTTCAGAAGTTGTTGAAGATCGTTGACAGTGTGAATTCCTCCATTTCTAGAAGGCGTCGTTGTGGAATTATTCACTTCTGAAGAAGCACTTTTTGAAGGCGTTGACGTGCCGGGTTTGTCAAATGAGATATCCAGAATTCGATGGACTTGAAGGCGTCGTTTTCGGGAGAGATTCGGGCAGTTTCTCATCACACTGAAAATTTTTTTTTGAAATCTTTAAAGGAGGCCAGACATGAAAATTTTCAAAATTCTAGTTTTTTGATATATTACCTAGTACAGTCAGAAAATAACAATGGACACCAAACCATAACTCCTTGTTACTGTACAAGCAAGAACGCGACCGTTCTTCGAAGCGGCGCCAACTTCTCGTTTCATAATCGTTTTTGCGGCAGCAGACGACAAGCGCCTTGTGTAGTGGGGGGCGCGCTTGGCTATCAGTCGCGCATCGCGGGTTCGATTCCCATCAGTTCGTTTTCGTTTTTCTTTCTGTTTTCATGCGGCGACATCATAGAATGACCGAATAACAAGAAAAAGTAGGGAGTAATTGCCAAACAGTGAAGAAATCTAGTGTATATTGAAAAAAATAAATGCTCGTCACGTAGCGCGCATTGGTCGCAATCGCACGATTTTCCGTTAGAATACATACTCTCGCTCCAAGAAAACTCCGTAGACTTTCGTGTCTGGCCTCCTTTAAAGGTGGGGGGACAGGAGATTTTACGGGGGATTTTTGGGGCCAGAGTATGCATTCTACCGTGACGGTGTACAACGCTAAACGCCACTCTGCGTACAGCTGTCGTCCTCGTCTTTATGTATGCAATCGGGCGACCGCTTTCTCTTTGCCCGTGTAGCTCAGTCGGTAGCGGCGCCGCACCCTCAATCCTCGCCCCACACGTTCAACTCCTCGAGGGGCATATTTAAACGAAATTTCGAGAACAATATTTTTTTCATCTCCCCCCACCTTTAAAGGAGCAAAATTTTAGAGAAACAAAAATGTCGAGAAACATCGCAAAACCTCGAAAATTGCTAATATTTTTGATTCCCACCAAAACTGAAAACTCCGAAAAATTGATTTTTCCCTGATTTTTTGCAAAATTGTTAGCCGTTTTCAGATTTTTCAGCTATTTTTAAAGGTTTTTTTTTCGATTTTTTTTGTCTGAAATTCGATATTACGGTGTTTGATTACTGTAGGTTTCTGTAGAACACTATTTTCCTTTTGTAGTTTTTTGTGCATTTTGACGTGATTGTGTTTGCAGATAAAAGAAACTACAAGAATTTTCTACAGTAATCTACAGTAACCAAACACCGTTCCATCAAATTTCAGACAAAAAATTCCATCAAATTTCAGACAAGCAAGGGCTGAATTTGGTTAAAAAATGGCCTTAACATTAGCATAAAATTGGCTCTTAAATGGCTGAAAATTGGCTAAAAATTAGCCTAAAATTCGCTGAAAATGGCTAAAAATGACTGAAAATAGTCCGAAAATTCCAAAGAAATATCCGAAACTTTTAGGCTGAAAATGGCTGAAAATTAGCTTAAAGTTGGCTTAAATTTGGCGGGAATTCCAAAATGAATTCGAGAATGTTTCAAAAGTTTTTTTTCGCTTTTTCGAATTTTTTAAGAAATTTGTATGAATCTAAATATTTTTCTACACATTTTGAATTGAAAAAAACACATCTTACACATCAATGAATTCCGTATTGAAATGTTTGGCGACAGGCAGCAAATGATCCAGTATTCTGGACCAATCATCAGCAGTCATCACATCTTGGTCAGCTGAAATAAGAAGGACTACTGTACCCTGGACTACAGTTTCTTACAAAAATGCATGACGAGCATTCGAACCCAAGACATGACTTGATCTTTCGACGATTTTTGAATCTTCTGCTCTCGAAGTCTCCACAAGAACGCTATAATGATATCAGAGCTGATTTTCAGACTGAAGACCAAATGTAAAATTGGCTCCCAGAACATTTGAATCGCCTCCGGAATCTGCCATTTCTCATCCGAATTCGTTGGCGGCAACTTCCAATTTTTCCACTGTCCAGGCGTTTGAATCAAGTTGCCATCCTTTACGAAACAATTCAAAAATATGGTCACATCCATCAGAATGTTCTTTTTGATAGCGAATATCTCATCGACTTCACTCAATTCTAGTTCTGTATTCAGATTCGTGTTCTTCTGTCGCCACGTGGAATAGGCACGGATCGATTGGAGATTCTGTTGTTCACGACCTCGTTGATTCGAGAATTCAGATGGAGAGCCTTTTGATGAGATCTCACTGCTCATCGCGATACGAGCGTCGTGTTGCCAGAAATTGTTCTGGAAACAAAAAAAAAATTATAATTTTGAATTGTTCGAGATTTTACAGATTTCTTCTGCAGAAAAATATGAAGAGTGGCATTTTTTGAAAAATCATAAAAATTCAAAATTTCCTAAAAATCTGAAATTTGGAAAAGTTTAAGTTTTTTTTCAAGATTTTTAGTGCAGAAAAGTTGTTTTTTTGAGAGAAAATATCTATTTTTCTTCAGTTTTTTTGCAAAATTTTCAAATCTTTTTAGGGTTTTGAGCCATTTTTGAAGATTCTTCTTCGATTTTTCCGGTTTTTTTTTGTCTGAAATTTGTTGTTCTTCCTGACGAAAGGTTACTGTAGCGAATATTTGTGATATCATAGTAAAAATTTTGTCAGATGACCACTTTTCGACATCTTTTACAGGAAACGAGATTTATGGACACAAAATAAAGAGTGTAACTTTTTTTTGTTGAATAGTAGGTAGACAAGAGAAATTTTCGTTGTGTTAATTCCCCAGAATTTGAATTGTTTATACTATTCCTTACTCATTTATTTCATGTGTCAGAGGTATAAAACCCTTGTTGGAATGAATAAATAAACAAATGAAGATATTTTTGCTACATCTTTATTTACTAGTTGGACACACACTCCCGATCATACAATTGAGTCCTAAGATCCAGCACAGAAGAATTACAATCCGGTCAAATCCTTTCTGTTCGTGAGTTCAAAAATTCAAATGTGTCTCTATCTCTATTCTTAG